TAAAACTTTTATTCAGCAAGGATGTGTTAAATTGATAAGAAGTGATAGCAACGATTTATATTGTTATAAAATATTTATATTTTGAATAAATGCTCTTCTTTTTAATTTTTTATTCATCAAAGAATTCTGAAAAAAGCATTGCAGTTTCCAAAAAAAATATTTGGAAGCACAACTGTTGCCAACACTGATAATTCTAATAATAAATCAGCATATTAGAATGATTTCTGAAGGATCATGTGACACTTTATACTGGAGTAATGGCTGATGGAAATTCATCTTTGCATCACAGAAATAAATTATATTTTAAAGTATATTAAAATAGAAACCATTATTTTATATTGTAATAACATTTTGCAAGATTACTTGCAAAAGTAAGTTTTTTTTTCTGTATTTTTGATCAAATAAATGCAGCCTTGATGAGCATGAGACTTCTTTAAAAAACATTACAAGTCTTACTGATCCCAAACTTTTGAGCGGTAGTGTATATATATATATATATATATATATATGCTAGTTAACTAACTTGGTGAGTTACAACTTGTTTTCTAAGTTTGTATTTATATATATATATATATCACTTTCTGAGCAACCAATCACAAAACAACAGAAACACTAGCAAAAACGTAACTACTCGCGAGAATGACCAAGCGGAGCTGATGTGACGGATTTGTGAGGCAATGTATATTCCGTAGCTGCTGGTAACGTCCTGTCTATAACTCTGGAGATTTGCCACCATATATATTTCAATAATCATTAACATTGTTCTCTTTAATTTGGGTTGGTCCTCCTCCATTTGCTGTTTTTTTTCCGCTTGCACCATGTTTTTCGAACGTTTCTGCACATCGTTGACGATTTTACACAATTAAAATGTTATTCTGGTCCTTGTGTTTTTTATTATTTACATTACAATCACTAAATTTGTTTTTTTAAATCAATTATTAAAAATGTATGCAGGATATTTTTCAATTTGTATATAATATACAAATGTTTAGTGAAGAGAAACTGTGACGAACGCCTGTTTTCAGACATTTAATTTAAAGTTGTTTAGTCTCTTACTTTTTACACAATGCAATACGAATTGGACTGTCTTACTAAAGACAACCATGAGCTTATTTTATGAAACAGGCTTTTCCCAGTGACTTAGATGCAGTCACAGAACTCTGAGCTCAGAGCACACAGAGCTCTTATCATGGTCTAAAAAGACCATTTATTGAAACTAAGCTGCAAAAACATCTCCTTCACTATTGTGATGTCACAGTCATCAAGATATTAACATTCACCTGCATTTACATATCAGCTGTCTAATACTGGACCCAGCAGCAAATTCGCAATGCATATGCTTTGTTATTTCACTAGTAAATAAGTCATAAGAGAGGTCACTTATACAGAGCAGCCTTAAAAAATAGATGGGAAAAATAGTCTTGACAAACATAATGAATTGACAAATGATCAAATATTTGTACAAAATGAACTGAAATGAAACTGAAAGTCTCACACAAACCTTGGTGCGGCTGAGATGAGTCTGAGCTGGTTCGGATGCTGTAATTGGCTGAAAAGCCCTCCTTGGTGATGGCGTTATCGGTGTGGATGCTGAGAGAGAGAATGCCGGTGTACGAGATCACACGACCTGGCTGTCTGGAACCACAGTATCGACCAATGTGAGGCCCCACTGAGAGAGAGAGAGAGATGAGATTTGTTCACAATTCAATCACAAACTCAACTTTTTATCACGCAGAGCAATTCTAATAACCATAAGAGCTGTAATGTTTGAGATGTGTGTGTGTGTCTTGGGTTGTCCTGTTCTTCTAAAAAGCCTTTCCTCCGGCTCTAAGACTTCACAAACTTCCTGCTTCTCTCAGCATGAAGTCTGAAAGTCAGCACTGTTTTTACCCTTAAGTTCCTCTATTTTATTTTGTCTCTACCTGTAGGATATCCATCCCATATCTCCAGATAGTCAAATCTGCAGACGGCCCCCACAGGTGCGGTTGTGTCCGGTTCCATATCAAAGCTCTGGAAGTCCAAAACGATCTCTGCCATCTTGGGTGCAAAGATGATGAAAGTGCACTCCAGGTTGTTTGGATACTTATCAGGGAAACCGGGGGTTTGAATCACTCCGTGTGGTTCTGTGAAGTTTCTGGAACATTCAGTACCTGCACAGAATGCAAAAGAACAAGTTGCATAATGTTTTTAGTTCAGCATCACTGAACAGTAGGCTATATGTCAAAGAATTTAGTAACATGCACGCTCGAATAGCATTTTCAGAGAATTAAAAGAGATTAAAACATTAAAAGAGAATCAATATTTTGATTAAAAGACATTCATTTTGTGTTAGTGTGTGTGCATGTGCAATATAAGATCTTTGACTGTGTCTGTCTGTTTTCTGGTACCTGTGCGGTGTATTTCATAGCGGATGCTGAATCCGGCTCCACTGCTTTCATAGTCGGAGGTGAATTTGATGAGTAAAGAGTTTCCACTAGAGATAATCGGAGATGGAGCGATTTTGCCGCAGAACCTCCCAGGAGAGAAAGCATTCTCATCCACACCATCAAACACCTGTACAAAATCATACCTATACACACACACACACACACATACATTATTGAAATTATTGTGTTTATGTGTACTGTAATACATTTACCAGTGAATTATTGTAAAAGCTGTAATATAATATAATATAATATTATGTAAACAAAAACTTTTATTTTGGATGTGATTAATCGTGATTAATCGTTTGACAGCACTATTTATATAACAATTCTCAAAAAATACTTCAAAAGATATTTGTTACAGTGTGTTTAATGCATTCATAATGCCTTATAATAAAACTTATAATCAGTTGTATGTTCTTATCAGTAATTGTAATCCACTGTTATAATGTACATAAATCTAAATATACATTATAATACACTATTCTATCTATGTTAATGCATTTAAAGACTATAATGCATTATTGTTGTTATTTAAATAATATGTTTTTATATAATTTATTTTATAATCCTGTTATTATTACTGTCACAATGAATACATATTATAATGTATTATGAATACCTTTGAAATGCCTTTAAAATGCATTTTAAAAACCTCTTCCCCCGGTTTCATCCTAGAGTAACTTTTGCATGACTCATTTAGATTCATTTTGTTGACTCCTACAGCATCAGCTCCAACAAAACCACTCAAAACATGAGGCATTTCCTGCTGACCTGACACGGGTTTTACACACAGCACCCCCTCTGAGTACATTCGTGCTCTCTTGCGCTCCTGTAACCCAAGACACTAACGGTCAGTGTGATCTCTGACCTCTCACCACGACGTGACCCTCTGTGGGAGCCGAAGCGTGCTTCCTGCCATTCACAGATCGCTCCCAACCTGGACTCGAGTTAAACTGATGATCTGGGTAATTTAAATACATTTATATTCTTCTAATTATCTAAGGAATAATTCACCCAACAATTAAAATCTTGTCATCTTTTACTCACCCTCAAGCTGTTCCAAATCTGAGTTTCTTTCTTCTGTTGAGCACAAAAAAGATATTTTGAAGAATTTTGGCAACCAGTCAGTTGCTGGTAGCCATTAACTTCACATAAGACATTTTTTCTTCTCCATATTATGGAAGTCAGTGGCTACCAGGGCCGGATTTACCTCTTTTCGTGACATAGGCAAAACACATTTTTGGGCCCCCCTTCCCTATTAATATAATAGCCTAACATTAGCTACCACCCAAGCAAACAAAAATATTTCTTAATCAGTGAAACCATTACAGTGTTTTCTATCGCAATAAGCGCTTGCGTTGCAGTCAATAAAAATCGAATGTAGTTCTTAATTTGCTTGAGAACTCAGAAAGACCATTCCATTAAAAGGCGCGGCGATGTGGCCACATAACCACTTCAGGAGTGCATCGTCTCTCTAATAATTTTAACGGCCTGGAGTCACCACCACACATCAAGACATTGTTAAGATGATTTACTTCAAAACATTTGTCATGTTTCCGTCCTGAAATCTCGTGTGTGTTGAACAATTTTTTACGCACCTCATAAACCTTCCATTGCAAATTCCAAAACGTCATTTTAGAGTTTATAGCAGAGGCTTGAGCCATTGATATGCAGGCTAATGCAGTTATTAATGCAGTCTAACGCACTTAGCGAGAGAGAGAGAGAGAGAGAGAGAGAGAGAGAGAGAGAGAGAGAGAGAGAGAGAGAGAGAGAGAGAGAGAGAGAGAGAGAGAGAGAGAGAGAGAGAGAGAGAGAGAGAGAGAGAGAGAGAGAGAGAGAGAGAGAGAGAGAGAGAGAGAGAGAGAGAGAGAGAGAGAGAGAGAGAGAGAGAGAGAGAGAGAGAGAGAGAGAGACATTAAGCGCGTGTGAATACCTGCGTCTGTGCGTCTCTCAGCAGTGTTCAGCAGCAGCGTCTACTAATAGCGAATCTTTAAGTTAAACTGCTTCAAGAACC